AGCTCTGAATCCTGTTCGATCCTGGGCCAATCTCTGTCTCTGACACATCTATTCTCATTATGCCAGTTATTATGTCAATCCATCTCATCTGGGGTCTTGCTTTTCTGCACTGTCCATCCACCCGTCTAAGCTTGATGTCCTTCTTCAAGGACTGGTCCCTCCTGACAACATGCCCAAAGTATATGAGATGGAGCCTTAAAATCCTTGCCTCTTGGCGAGCTCTGGTGGCCTACTGGCAAGAAGCTGCACTGCAATCTCAGAGGTACATGGTTCAAATCCACTAGATGCTCTGCTGGAGAAGGAGGAACAATCTCCTCCTGTATCAGTCAGATCTGATTTGATGGTACACACAAAAAATAATGAAATAAAATAAAATTTAAAAAAAAATTCCTTGCCTCCAAAGAACAGCTTGGCTTTACCCTCTCTAGGAGAGATCTGTTAGTTTTCTTGGCAGTTCATGATATGTTCAATACTCTTCTCCAGCACCACAATTCAAAGGCATCAGTTCTTCTTCTGTCCTCTTTGGTCATTGTTCAGCTCTCTGAGGCATGACAGGTAATTACAAGGATCATGGCCTGGATCAGGCACACTTTAGTCTCTAGACTGACAGTGTTGCTCTTTAGCACTTTGGAGAGGTCCCTGACAAGCAGATTTTCATAATGTAATTCATCTTTTGATTTCCTGACTGCTGGTTCCAGGAGTGTTGATTGTGGAACCAAGAAAGCTGAAATTGTTAACAATTTCAATCTCTTCTCCATCTATTATGAAGGTGCTAATTTGCCCACTGGTAAGAATTTTTGTTTTCTTGATATTGAGCTTTAATCCATATTGGAGACCACAGTCCTTGACCTTCTGCAGCAAATGCTTCAGGTCCTCCTCATTTCCAACAAGGAAAGGTCACGTCATCTGCATAATGCAGGTTGTTGATATGTATTCCTCCAATTCTAGTGCCACATTTCTCCTCATAAAATCCAGCCTCCTGAATGATCTGTTCCATATATAGATTGAACAGGTATGGAGATAGGATGCGTCACTGATTTCCTGATTCTGAACTATGCAGTGTTTCCTTGCTGTTGTCTGACACCTGCTTCCTGGTCCAAGTATAGGTTTTGCAAAAGCACAATCAAGTGTTCTGGGATTCCCACTTTTATCAAGGTTAGCCACAATTTGTTGTGATACACACAGTCAAATGTCTTTGCATAGTCAATGAAACACAGACAGACACTGTTCTGGTACACTCTGTTTTCAGTCAAGATCCAGCCGTCATTTTCAATGATATCCCTAGTGCCATGGCCTCTTTTAAACCCAGCTTCTATTTCTGGTAGTTCTCTGTCTATATACTGTTTCAATCTTTTTTGGATGATCTTCAGCATCTTTTACATATTCTGCATGATGAAATAGACCAGGAATATGCAATATCATGCATGCATATGGTAGTTAACCTGTATAACTACGTAGATGACTGTCTCCAGGAAAAGCTTCTGTGAAACTGAGTTGTGAGCCGAATTACACTCTTTACACCAAAACACCATTTTTACTTGGAAGAATGCCTGACAGCCAAATTATCGTTATTTAGTTTTGGGTATCTGGTATTCTCTCAAAAAAGAACTTCAAGGGAAAATTATTGTCATCCCCCGCCCCCAATAATAAAACCAAGCTTTTAAGTTATAATTGGGATTTTTAAAAGTTCTGTTTTCCCTGATGAGCTTAATAGCTTCCCAAACTTAAAGGTTTTCTGATAAGACTGGTAGTAATACAGCAAAAGCCGTGAAAGATGAACTCTGTGGAGGGAGAATTTGTCAAAGAAGCAAAACACAAATATTTTCCACTCAAAAATCAACAGAAAAGTATAAGGTCACCACCACACACTTGGCCAAAGGTGGAAAACTTGTGAGACCCAGAATAACAAGGCAATCCTGTAGCGTTCTAGCTCTTAGGAGTATCACATTACTGTATTAATACAGGTGATACATTTAGTTTTATACTGTTCAATTAAGTGTGTTAATATTTTTGAAGATCTGCATCATTAAACTAATATTACTTCAAATGATCAGTGTTACCAAAAACTGTGCCTAGCTAAAAAGATCCAGTCAAAATGTAAGCTAGACTAACAGGTTTAACTAACAGAATGAAGTGTTCAATGATACGATTTCAGATTATACAATGCAGATGACTTTTAACAAAGTATGACTTGTTAAATGTTAGTGGCATAACAAAGAAAAGTCACACATACCCAAAAAAGTCATTAAAATGTTCATCTCTTTTCCAATTAAGTAATTAAGAGGTATCAACTTAAGCTAAAATAATACATCAAGATAAGACTGGTTGCAGAATTTGTCTATAAAGTCAATAAGTAGAGACATCTTTAAAATATAATACAACACTTATGTGCTCCCTTTTTTGTTTGGAAAATAGTTATTTTCACTAAATATATGCAATTTGTGTATGTAAGAAATGTGTCTAATACTATCATCTTTCAGTGCAATAATTACTTTCAATTTCTCAGTTTTATGTTCTAATAAGATAAATATTGATACTGAAACTAACCTAACCAAAAATTCTTCAAGGTCAACATTTTTTAAGGGATGAGCCAAAAATTACTACTATCTTAGATCATTCTCTGTTTCTATTCGTAAACTTGAAAAGTAATCTACCCTTATACATAGTAGTTTTAGAACATTGAAAAGGCATTTAAGTGCTGTAGTATGGCTCAGAACAAACAATAAATGATACATATAAGATCTCAAATCCTAACCTCTTGGAAATGTTTTGGGATGTCTTTCTGGTAAGGCACACTTGCCCTTGGTTTTATAATAGGTCATTACAATGCATGGGCATATTTCCTCCCATGTAATTTACTGCCTCTGAAATTCCAATCGAATATCAGTCAATTCTGATTCTATAGCACACAACAACATTATAATGCTTTTTAGGCATACGTTAGATATCCAGTACGGAGCTCTGGTGGTATAGCCCACAGAGTGCTGCACTACTAGCCCAAAGGCCATGACCCTGTGGGAGTTCTAATCCACCAGTGGCTCCCCACGAGAAAAATGGGCAATCTCTTCCCATGAGATTTACAGACTTATATGGGGTCAACTGTGAGTCATTTCTAACTCTACAGCAACAAGTTTGAGGGGGCTTTCCAGGTATCTCTTGTTATGTGATACTGAGTTGAAACTGACACACAACTGACTTTCCAGCAGGTTTTCAGAGGCTCTAAAAATCACATGGAAGAAGATAGTCTTTCTCCCAAGAAACAGCTGGCATATTCAAACCACCTGCCTTTGGGTTGGTAGCATAACCCCTTACCCACAAGACCACCAGAGCTTCCCTTTAAATATCTTGTTGTTGTTGCGTGCCATCAAGTCAGAACTAATCCACCAGCAAGTTTTTAGAGTCAGTTAATCTCATAGGAGGAGACTGCTGACCCTTGTCCCACAAGCTGGTGGATTTGAACTGTGTGCCTTCAGGACTGCAGCACAGGTTCTTACCACTAGGCCAACAGAGCTCCCTTTTTTAAGTATCTAAGAAGTAAAAAATACTGGTCCAAAATACAAAAAGATTAATTTATCTTGAGGCTATCCCCCTCTTCTCAAAATTCACTTCCCACGGAACAAAGATAAGAGAAAATTGAGATCATCAATTCCAGTTGAGGTAAGAGGCCAATTGTACAAAATCTTTTAGGAAAGGAAATCAATTCATTTGGGAGCCAACTTAGAGACTTGGGTTTTCTCTGGAAGGTTTATGGTTTAGTGTGAGCTCTGTTCTGTTTAATCCTAAAGGCCATACAAAACCTCTGTAATTCAGTGGGCTCCTCTACTCACCGAAGTCCTCAACTCCATTAAAAAAATGGTGGTAACATTCAAAATGGCTTTAGATGACTCAGCTAGTCTCAGAAACAGCTTGGATTGCAGACTATCAATCGCTAGGGCATTAGTTTAAAGTGTACTTGATTCAGGCCATGGTCTTTTTGATTACTTGCTATGAATCTGAAAGTTGGACAAGGGCTAAGGATGACAGAAGAAGAACTGGTGTCTTTGATCTGTGGTGTCAGAGAAGAGTACTGAAAATTCCTCGGACTGTCAAAGACCAATCAAATATGTCTTGGAGAAAGTGTGACCAGGATGTTCCATAGAAGCAAGGATGGTAAAGCTTTGTCTCACATACTTCGGGCATGTTTCCAAGCACTACGCTTGGAAAAGTAGAGGGGCAGGGTAGGAGAGGAAAACCCTCAAATGAATTGACTGAAAAATGAGTTCAAGTATACTGAAGATGGTGAGGATAGTAAAAGATAGGGCAGGGTTGAGATCTGTTGTTCAAAGTATTGCTAGGAGTCATGGTCAACTCAAACAGCACATAACAAGAAGGAGGGCTCTAGGAATGCTAATAACAAAAATTTTTAAAGAGTAAATATTTTTAATGTATTTTTTTATGATGTTAAAACGTGTCAAGCATTGTTTTAAGTATTCTTTGTAGATTAATTTCCATAGTGGTTCAAATCCACCAGCCATTCCACAGGAGAAATATGTGCAATCTTCTCTGGTACTATTTACAATCTCTGAAAACCTGTTGGAAGGTCAGCTATGGGTCGGTTCCACTCAATAGTACACCACAATAACAAGTCCTTACAAGTTGGTGTGTGATTTCCCTTTCTTCTGGTACTCACCAAGCCTACATTATATTGCTTTTGAAACTACTAAATTGTTACCCTACTTGCCTCCTACGACCCCTAAAAATATTAATAAATCCCAGATTTCTGTGAAAACTAGATGATCACTAACACCATCCAAACGGCTGAAGAGTTACTAGAGAAAAGAGGTGACACCATTTCCTATAATCTGTTTACTCTTTCAAGATATTAGCTTACTATCAAAAAGAAGAAAAATGGAAGTACTTTTTCTAATTGTAAGGTTACAAGGAATCAAAACTAATCAAATGACTGGGGAAGCTCTGGGGTATCCCTCAAACAGAATCAAAGCAGCATTCCAGAAACATACCTGTTGGAGCCATCTTTCATATGGACTTTGGCATAAAGAACGTCCACCATGCCTGGGTCATCGTTCATATATTCTATCCCTGCCATCTCTGCTTCCAGGGGTTTGCCTCCAGAAATCTCACTACAAAGGGAAAAGGAAAAAAGACTTTTACAACTGCTGATGCTGAGAGGGCAATTAGATTCTGGAGTTTTGTTAAAATTCACAGTAAAATATTACAAAAGTGAAGTTTTTTTATTTTAAAATTTCTCCTAATCATCCATCTAATTTAAAAATAAACAACTGTTCAATGTAGACAAACTAGAAAACACCAAAAGTATTTCCAAAGTCATGCTATATTTATCTCAATACTTTATAATCTCTCTAACAGAAAAAGTTGAGGGTGACAATTTTGATTGACAAAGACTTTTACCATGTTGGCTTCCCAGGTCTGAGTCCTTTGCTTGTAAAAGTTACCAATAGTAGCTCACTCATTTACCAGTGGTAGAGGTGTAAACAGCTATCACAACCTTAAGAGCAATCTGAAAATATTTGTGAAAAGCCACCAAGAATTGAAATCCTTTGCTCAAGAACTCCATTCCTGGATCCTACCCTAAGAAAACAACTTCTGAACTCAAGTATATAAACAAAACTTGGTGGGAGTGTAAAATGGTGCAACCCCTGTGGAAAGCAGTATGGCGCTTTCTCAAAAAGTTGCAAATAGAGATACCATTTGACCCAGCAATTCCACTACTGGGAATATACCCTGAAGAGACCATAGCTGACATCCAAGCAGATATATGCACACCCATGTTTATTGCAGCTTTGTTCACAATAGCAAGGAGTTGGAAACAACCTAAGTGCCCATCAACAAACGAATGGCTAGAGAAGCTGTGGTATATTCGCACAGTGGAATACTATGCTGCATTAAAAAACAAGGAACTCATGCAATATTATTAAAAATGGTTGACTCTGGAGAACATTATGCTGAGTGAAATATCCCAGTCACAAAAAGACAAATATTACATGATGCCACTGTTGTAGAATGGGACTGTCCTTGGGGTTGGGGAGAGACTGAGTAAGATGGGTTCAATAATGTATACTGCACTGAAACAGAGGAGGGAGAAAACTGTTTAAAAGAGATATATAACTAGGTATTTCTGTCATCACAGGAGACTAGAGCGAGGGCTACATGGTGGAGGGGCCTGGGGGAGGGTTTGTAAAACAATGAAAGAATCTTTTCTTTTACTTTTCCATAATTTTTGGACTCATGTACTTATAACTTGTTAGTCAAATTTGTGTCTTCAAGGATATGAACATGTACGGCCAAGCACAATCAATAAGAGTGCATCTAAATTCCAAAATCAATCTCCATAATAGTCTATGTGTTTCCTACTGCCAAAGGGGCCCTTTAGAGTAGTGAGAGAAGATCTTCACCCTGAAACCCACAGCGTCCCTTTTCAGCAGGAAGTAGCTAAGAGAATACGCCATCCCCTTTTCCTTATGACTCAGGGTGAAGTCTCTCTCAGGGAGGAGTGATAGGGAATGGCAAAGGACACACTGACAAAGAAGATTAATCAGAACTGGCTTTGACAAGCACTGTGGCATTTGGACAAGAACAAACTGGGAGGAGGGTAGAGAGAATAGTGCAACAATGAATGAATGGAAACCCAAAATCTCTGTAAATGTTTATGAAAATTAATAAAACAATAGAAAAAAAGAAAAATATATATAAACAAAACAGATGAAAGAAATGTCTCCTTTCAAGAACTGCAACTGACAGACACAGAAGGAATGACGGAATTAGGATAGCACCACTTTTCAAGCCCTAATGAAATAATCAGGGGAGCTTTGGTGGCCTAATAGCAAGAAACTGCACTGCAATCCCAAAGGCACACTGTTCGAACCCACCACCTGCTCTGTGGGAGAAGGATGGGCAATCTCTTCCTGTGCAATTTACTGCCTCTGAAAACTCGCTGGAGGGTCAGCTGTGGGTCAGTTTCTGCTCAATGGTACACAATAATAACAGGCAATGATCACCAATGGCTGCTAGATCTTGGTCAAAGCTGGGGGAAATAAAAAGGTACCTCTATAAAACCCATTGCTACTGAATCAGTTCTGGCCCACAGTGACATTATAGGGCAGAGCCAAGTTGTTCCACAGGATTTCCAAGGCTGTAAATTTGAACAGGCGCAGTCAGCCTCATTGTTCCCACATGGGATGAAGATGGCAGTTTCAAGCGACCTTTTGGCTAGCAGTCCAGTTAAGCCCCTACTAGGGTAGAGTGTATCACTAATGGATCCATGTGACCACATCTAAACTTACTACTCAACCTTAACATCCCAAAAGGAAACAACCAGATAGGATGTTCCTCCTCACATGACAGGAAGCCCATGTAACCACCTATGGTCTTGTCCAGAAATTGAACTTGCATTAGATTGGGCTTCTAGATCTAACACAACACAGACAAATCCAAAATGTGAAAAATCCTGTATGACAAATGACTTGGTTTCTTCAACAAATAAACAGTACAAGGGAAAACAAGGGAGGACTTATTAAGGCTTAAAGGAGGTTTAAGAAAATCTGTTAACAAAATGTAACATGTAGACTGAATCCTAATTCAAATAAATCAAGAGTAAAAAGATCATTGTGAAAATGCTTACGTAATATTACTTAAAAACTGACAAAATTGGAAAATGGACTATTGATTAGACCAAAGTACTGCACTGATACAGCCTTAAGAGTAGAAGAGCAGAAGATGATTTGGTAATAAAAAGCAATGAAGTGCTGATGTTAAGTTACATACAATATCACATACACTGCTAAATCAAAAGGACCAGTCACAAAAGGTTACACATTTCATGGTCCTATTTATAGGAAATGTCCAGTCAGTCCAGTCAGTCAGAGCGCAGAGATAACAAGGAGAAGGGTGGTTGTCTAGAGTGCTGGCAGTGGGAGAAAATGGAGAGTGACTGGTCAAGTACTAGCTTTCTTTTTGAGGTGATGAAAATGTTCTAAAACTGTGGTGACAGATGAACAAGTGTGAATATACTAACACTGTATACTTTATATAGGTGAATTGTAGGTTATATAAACTGTGTCTTGATAAAGCTATTTTAGGACGAAAAGGACTCCAACAGTCACTGCTTGCTTTGATGATGAAAGGGGCCACGAACCGCGGAAGGCAGGCAGCCTTTAAGCTGCTGGAAAAGGAAAAATGGCTTTTTCCCTCTGAGAGTTCAGAGGAATGCTTCCCAGCGGACTCCTTAACTTAGCTCCGGCAGGACTTGCCTGGGATTTCTCACCATCATAACCGTAAAGTAATAATTCATGTACTTTTAAGTTTGGGGAGTGGGGTGAATTTTGATATCATGAGTCAATGTTTAAATTCATAGGAACACCCTTGTTCCTTGAAAACACACACTAGGCTCTAAGAGGTAAAGTAAAGGGAGAGGCATTAAGGGAAGAGCACTCCAGATAAAAACAAACACTAAATCCAAAGGAAGGTATGAGCCAAACAGGGAAATCTGAAAGCTGACTGGTGTATCTTTTCTAAGATGTGATAATGGTTTTGTTTAGAGTTTTAAAAATAAAAAAAAAAAAAGCCTTTTATATTTTAGAGATGCACATGCTAAAAAGAAACATTTTCAAATGAGATGGCCTTCTAACTGGGCTTGATTTTAATCCTAAAAGGAAAAAAATCTTTAAGTCCAGATACAAAGGGAGCTCTGGCGACCTAGTGGCAAGAAGCTGCACTGCAATTCCAAAGGAGAGCAGTTTGAATCCAGCAGATGTTTCCCTGGAGAAGGAGGGGCAACCTCCTCCCGTGCCAGTTGGATCCTATTCGATGGTACACAACAAGAAAAAAAGGTGGGGAAAGGAGTACAGATGCACATGCCTGACCATCTGCTGGTAACTGCTGTAGAGCATGAGGTGGTTCATGATATTATTCTTTATTCCCCGGCATATACCTAATATTTTCCCTAACGAAAATTTGAGTTTTGTTTGGCTGAGTACAGAATACTTTATTGATGGTATAAGAGAAGATGGGATCTCTAAGCCCCTCTCCTCTCTCAGGAGGACTACATGGAAACTGTCAAGGATGTGAGATTCTCAGTGTGTGTGTCTGGAGAAGTCAAGCTGGAGCAATGAATGACTCCTCAGCAGCTGAAGGTCTGTCTCTCCTCTAGTGTTATGCTGGAATTGGTGGTTCAAATGGCTCTTAATTCTTTGGAGGCAATGTGAACAATCAGGTCGACCACCCTATTGCTATAGCCAAATTCACTGTCATACCAGGAAATGAGTTTGACCAAGTGGTCATTCAGGGCAATGCCAGCCCCAGCATCAAAGATGTAAGAGGGGATGTCACTGTTAAAGTCAAAGGAGACAACCTGATCTTCAGTGTATCACAGGATGCCCTTGAGAGGCCCTTCTGATGCCTGCTTTACTACTTTCTTAATGTCATATCTGGCAGGTCAGATCCATACTGACACATTGTGGGTGGGGATATGGAAAAACCAAGCCAGTAAGTTTCCCATTCAGCTCAGGGATAACCTTGCCCATAGCCTTGGCAGCACCAGTATATGCAGAAATATGTTCATCCAGCTGCATGGCCATCACACCACAGCTTTCCAGAGGTGCCATACACAGTCTTCTAGGTGGCAGTAATGGCATGGCATGTGGTCATGAGTCCCTACATGATGCCAAAGTTGTCATGGATGATCTTGGCCAGGGGGGCCAAACAGTTGGTGGTGCAGGAGGCATCGCTGACAATCCTGAGAGAATTGTCATACTTCTCATGGTTCATGCCCATCACAAACATGAGGGCACTGGCAGAAGGAACAGAGATAGTTACTCGTTTAAGTGGGCCCCAGCCTTCTCCAAGGCTAGAAAGACACTAGTGGCTTCACAAAATACTCAGCACCAGCATCACCCCACTTGATGCTGGTGGGATCTTGCTCCAGGAATATAGTGATGACAACCTTCCTATTGTTAGTCCTGACAGTGCCAGTGAACTTGCCAATGGTGGAATCATACAAATTATGTATTTAAGGTCGATTAAGGAGTCACTGATGATGAAAACATCCACTTTGCCAGAGTTAAAAGCAGCCCTGGACAAGTTGTGCTTTAATCCCGAAGGTACA